TGTGTGTGTGTGTGTGTGTGTGTGTGTGTGTGTGTGTGTGTGTGTGTAATTTCTGGATAAAAGGATGCAGTCTAGAGCTATGCCAGACCTGGAATTCACAAAAGTCCTGACTCAGCTTCCAAGGAATTAGAGCTAGAGGTGTGCTAAATAGTATCATTAATTATTGAATCATAACTTTAAGCTTAAAAGAAGAGTTTAGAGGTTGAAGCAGTTTTCCTCTATTTATGTTATCTGACAACAACATGTTGGAACATGGTCTCCCATGGTGAAAAATGTCTTAGGTAACTGTGAGAGAGCATCCAGGAAAAAAAAGGCAGAAGTCATTTTACCTCAGGTGCATTTTGTTCCCTGGATTATTCTTGGATGTGATTTTGGGATGTCTCCTGCAACAAACATTTACATTCAATTCATGAGACTTGTTAATTCTTGTTGGTTTTCAGATCGTAGCTATGAATCCCAATCTGATCAGTGTACCCTGAATCTGGATATGGACTTCTGCCTTGCTTTTGTGTGTTCCCAGATATAATTTACAGTACATGACAGGCAATTGTGTTTAAATTACTCTGTATTGAAAAGGTTTTGGAAAAATGCTGTTCTCTTATTATTTAGAATGTGCTTACTGACAATTACTCACATGTTTTTCTGAATTCAACCTTCCTTGGATCATCACTTTCTTTGTTTCATTGCCATATAAAACTACAATGAAACTGAAGTAAGATTGTCCACAACATTAGACTGTAGTCTGCCCCATTATTTCAGATCCCATCTTGTGCAAACAAGATCTACAGACACGGAGGGAAATCAACATTGGTGTGGAATATCTGGTTGGTATACTAGAACCCAGCACTGAGAAAGAACTTCAGGGAAACCTGGTAATTAATGTCTCTGCCTACTTGCTCTCTCTATTTCTATCTCTGTTCTGATTTCCCACCTGGTTTTATTCTGCTAAGCCATTGACCCAAACAGCTTTATTTGTTAGCCTATAAAAACAACACATATACAGAAGGACATATAAGCAGAGGAAATATAAGCAGACTAAGGGAGATGTCACTTAGCTACCAAAAAAGAAGGACAATCAGGAACCCTAGGAAACTACCTGGGAAATACACAGATTGCTAGAAATAGGCTAATTTAAGTTATAAAAGCAAGCTAAAAATATGCCTGAGCTGTTGGCCAAGCATTGTTGTAATTAATATAGTTTCTATGTGATTGTTCAGGTCAGGGCAGCCAGGATGATGGAGCTGTCTCTGCTTAAATAAGTACAAGGATCTTAGAGGACAGAAGTATCAGATTCACCTGAAGCTGAAGTCACAAGTGGGTGTGAGCTGCTTCACAAGGGTGCAAACCAAGCCCAAATAATCTGTAAGATCAATATATGCTCTTAACCCCTGAATAATATCTCCAATCTCATATTATATATTTTTAAAATATTATATAATACTCATTTACATGAATTTATGCATCACAAGAAAATGCAGAATTTAACTAATTCATGAAAAAAGAAAACTCAATTTAAAATGTGCCCAGAATAATCATCATCTACAGTGTATAAATTTAGGATAAAGGAATTATTTTCTTTTAATATAAATATTAAATATGAATCCTGATAGAGCAGTATACCCTAAAATGGATTTCATTC